AGTCTCACGGCCCCTGGGTGACCCCTTAGGTGTTTGGACAGATTTGAGGGATTCCTCTGGGTCCTTGTTTGAGCAACATTTATTACAAAAACAGCTGGGATGGCAGTTCTGTGGGCCTGAGAGCTGGACACTTCTCTCTGCCATCTTGGCAGTGGACAGCTAGCTATGGGGAGGGGGCCCAGCCCCCTTCCAGCCCTGACCCAGAACCAGGTTGAGAGGCAGCCCATGCCCAGGGGCTGAGCCTGGGCCGTGAGCCTCCTCTCAGAGCCTCCTTCTAATTTGCAGTAGGGGTGGGGACCTGCCTGTCCTCCTCCCAGGGTGGGTGAGGTGGCACAGGTCTGGGGGCGGCTGGGCTGGTGCAGGGAAGTGGTAACCAGGGGTCCCCTGACCCCCACCATGGTCCTCTGGAGGCCACTTCTGGGAACAGGGCCTCTCTGCAGGGCTCCTCCACCCTGGGGTCCCCTGACCCTGAAGCTGCAGGAAACCCTGGAGACCCCTACCCATGGTCTCTGAGGCCTGGGGGATCCATCCCTTAAGCAGTAGAAGAGAGTGAGCTGGGTGTCCAGGCAGGACTTGCCTCCGTGTATCCCCCCATTCAGGCCAGGGTCCCCACTGGGTCGAGGGAGGTGAGGCCCAACAGCTGCCAGTTGGATTCGTCCTCTGACGGACTCTCACAGTGTACCCCAACACATAAAATGGCGGGGAGGTGACGCTGGGCGGGGCAGCGCGTCTCCCGTCTGGCCTCCAGTCAAGGCGGTCACTGTCCCTAGGTCCCCCTGCCACGAGTCCTGGGTTGGCCAAGCAAGCTGGCAGGGCCCTCTCCTGGCTGGGGCCCGAGGACTGCCTGACGCCCTACCCTAACCCTCCTCTACCCAGGGCTGCCCAGAGGGGACGTCCTGGCTGGCCACTGGCCAGACACTCAGGAGGCAGTGCCAGCAGGCCAGGAGCAAGTGCCACAGGCGCATGAGGAGGACCAGGAGCCGGGCTCGGAGGTCCTCCAGGGGTGTGGCAATGGATTTGGCCCGGCCACAGCACAGGCCCAGAGCTGCCCCGAGCAGGATGCACACGGAGAGCCGCAGGAGCAGGGAGCTGCCGCCCGGCAGGCGCTGGAGCAGGGACCTGCGGCGGGGCAGGCGCCGGCCCGACACTGTGGGCCGAGGGGGGTGGGTCAGTTGTGGCCTGTGTCCTGACCCTCTCGGGTGAGGACTGGCCAGGGGCTTCCCCTCGGTGGGAAAGGGATGGAAGGAGACCCAGGCTGCCGGGCCACTGTCCTGTACCCATCAGGATGGACATTTGGGAGGGTTGGGGGTGACTCCCAGAGTCCCTATGGGATGGGGATCCCCACTCCTGGCCAGAGGCAAACTGCACCATGGGGGGGTGGACACTGGTCCCCAGCTGTGTGCACCCAGGACCCCAGTGTGGAGCTCAGCTTTGGAGCAGACAGGGGTGGCACTGTGGGGCCCGGGGAGATGGGGGCAAGGTGTGGGGCCGGGACGTGCAGGAACTCCTTGTGGGTGGAGGCCCAGAGCGCGGGGCAGATGGGGCTTGGGCTCAGAACTCACCCTTGACGGTGGCCCTGGTGTCCCTGCTGGCGATGTCTAGGAGGGAGAGCACAGATCCCTCAGCCTGCCGGGCGCCCAGCCCTGCTTGTCTCTCCCGACCCCAGCCCAGAGGACCAGCAGCCGCCCAGCCCCAGGCAGGGCCCACTCCTCAGGGCCCTGACCCTGCGAGCACAGCGGGATGGAGAACAGTCCCTGTCCATCAGCAGCTGCCCCACTGACCACGACCCTGTGTCCATGGGACCTATTGCCCAGGTTTTACTGGGGGTCTACCTGGGAAAACAGAACAGGGACTGTGGTCCCTTCTGGGGGTCTGGGGTCCTGCCAGAGCTGTGTGGGCACTCTGGGCACCACCCTCTCCCAGACCCTGATGCTGGCCCACGTGCCCTCTTACAATGAATGGCCGCCTCCAAGGGCTCTCGGAACCGTACGTGCCTGGAAATCCTCTGTGGGTCGGCCCCCGGAGGCCCTGGCTTGGGCTGGCCGCGTCTCAGGATGGAGCGGGGCTGCTTCCTGTCACTGTCCTGGCCAAGAGTGGGAAGCAGGCAGCAGTGAGCACATTTCAGCAGAGTCCTCACTGCCCCCTGGGCTTTATGCAGAGGGACAAGTGTGGAGACCCCAGAGCTGCCCTTGGCCCCCCACCCTGCCAGTTGCTCTTACATGGAACCCGGACAGAGCTGAGCAGGCAGGGCAGTAACCAGCGGGCCCCTGTCCAGCCCACACTCTGTGCCTCCCAGTCCAAGTGGGGCACAGTAATGTTTACATATTAATAAGAGGAATAACCCATCCTAAGGTGACCTCAGGGTAACCGGCCACTGATGGAGGACTCTCCGCCTCAGGGTTGGGAGCCTGCCCTGAGTCCACTGAGTTCCTGCAGGGTCTGTCGTGGGGCCCCCAAAACCAGGCCTGGAAAGGCTGGTGACCAGGGATCAGGCGGGGAGGGACGGGGGTGCAGAGCTCTACCCTGTCCAGAACCCCCTCATACAGATGAGGGGCAGGGCCTAGACAGGGCTTGGGGACCCACCAGCAAGGCGCGAGGCACCTCCTCCCTGAGGGGAGATGCCAGCCCTGGCCCCTTCCTCTGCATTATCTCTGGCTGCTGTTCTGGCCCCTGTAGGGACTCGGGGGACAAGGAACATGGGGATGGCGTGGGGAGGGGCCCTGGCTTAGGGGGCCAAGATAACAAGTTCCACCCAGCTCCATGGGGCTGGCTGTGGCCTTGCCTGGCCACTGGGGTCTCGGCCTCCCTTTCTGGGTCAGCATGTTCCCAGGCGGCTCCGGGGTGAGCAGGAAGGCAGCTGTGCACCCACATGCCCACCCGGGGCTGCCGCCCACCTGCTCCGTTACCAGCTCATCTGCCCAGCCCCAGGTTGGAAGGTGAGCTCCTGGCCTCTGAGGGCCCAGTGTCTTTGTCTGTGGCCCAGGGACAACAGGCTGTCTGAGGGCCATCCCCAGGTTCTCCCAGCTGGGCACCCCCACCGCACGCAGCCTGCTGCTCTGGGGTGAGGGAGGCTGCCCTTCAGGGCACTGGACCTGGCAGTGAGCTTAGAGCCTCCATTGGCCTCAGGGCCTGAGGTCTGGTCCCTCCTGCTTGGATGCCCCCGATCCTGCTCTGTGGAGACTCCCTTGCTGACACCCCCTCCAGGGCCCCTCCCTGTTCATCCTGGAGGACGCTTGGTGACAGCCTCAGGTGTCCTGTCTCCACCTGCTCCCTCACTCCAGCACTGGCCTTTCTGCGCTTCTCAGCTGTCACCTTCCATGGCTCCCACGTCCCCTGCCTCCATCCGGCCCCCCACCCTGCCAGTTGCTCTTACGTGGAACCGGGTCAGTACTGAGCAGGCAGGGCAGTCACCAGCTCCCTGCCGCTGACCTCCTCAGTCTGGCCGTCTCCCACCCCCACGCTGCTTCCGTGTCTGGGACCCTGGCCTGATGCTGTGTGCCCACCTGGTGCCTCCTCACCAGACCAGGCCCTTCAAGGTGGCCTCCCTACCCCACCAGGCCCCAGGTCCCCTCCTGCTGTTCCTGGGGCAGAGGACACCTTCAGAGCAAGAGTGGGGACCCTGCCTTCCTCACTGCCCCCACCCCAGGGGACACAGTGTGTGCAGGGGACGTCTCGGGCAGCCCGCCTCACCCTTTCCGCCCTGGGCACCTGTGAGCCCCACGTGGCCTCATTTCTTCTGGGCTGACGTCGGGGCCCTGGCCGGGGGTCGGGGTGCGGGGCTGGCACCGTGGTCTTCATTTACTGGAACATGGTCCTAGGACAGGAGATGGTTCACTGCATGAGCAGCGCCCCCCGTTAAAGACAAAGGGATGAGGAGATGACTCCTGGGAAGCCAGGTGGCTTCCAGCTCCGGCCGGCCTTGCCCAGCGTGGCCGCGTCCCTCCTGCCCAGCGCGGACGAAGCCTGTGCCCTGTGTGCTCAGAACCGCTCCTGCAAGTAGTGCCCTCCGCTGCTGCCCGGTCTCCATCACCCTCGTCTTTCATGACTGTATAATACTCCTCAGGGCATAATACTGTCCTGATTTGCACCTACCTGCCTGGCAGTGTGCCTTCTGTCATTGTCACTGTGTGTCTCTCTGCATTGCCTCTGCTCAGCAGGGGTGGCTCTGGCTCCCACAAAGGGTGGGAGCTTTGCAATGCCAGGGCTCAGCGGGCCTGGGAAAGGCTCTTCCAGAGGGTCCTGCAGCCGTCCTGCTGTGCCCCTGAGCTCATGAGCCCACCCCTCACTGGCCAGGTTTGTCCCTGCTGCTGTCTGTCCCTCTACCCTCTGTCCTTCTGTCTTTGACTCTGGTTCTTTGTCTCTAAGCACATCTCTCTCTCCTTGTCAAGGTCTGATTCTCTCTCTGCCTCTCTGTCTCTGACCTGCCCCTCCCTGGGTCACGCTGCTCCCTCCCTGGTACAGAGGCACCTCTTGATCCACCAGCGTGTCCCCAGTTGCCAGGAGCTGTGCATGTCCCCTGTGCCTTGCTCAGGGTGGCTGCCCAGCACAGATTTCCTTCTTCCATAGCCTTGGCTGGGCCTTGACCTCTAAGGTCTCCTGTCCCGCTCCAGGTGCGGACGCCACTGGGCATCCCAGCAGGGGCAGCCGGACACCAGCCCTCCCAGGCCTGGGGCTGCCGAGCACACCTCCCTACCTTCTCAGGGGAAGTGAGGTCAGAGAGGGCAGGGGTGTCCCTGGCCACAGAGGCTGACACAGGGCTGCTGGCAGGCTGGTCCTCCCGGCTCCTTCCCAGTTTGATGGGTGGCTCGGGGCTGTCTGCCCTCCTGCCCAGGCTCTCCCAGGGCCCTGATGAGGGGCATTTGGTGGGCATCATTGCCCTCCGGGTGGTGGCAAAAGTTTGAATTTCATGAGAAGCGTCCTGGTTTCTGTGGACCCTCCCGGGCCCTGTCCCTGAGGGCTGGGAACAGGCTGGGGGCTCCCCTGTCCCCAGCTGCCTGGAGGGGTGCGGCTGGGCCGCCTGCAGCCTTCCTTCTGGGAGAGAGCTGGCTCCTGGAGCCCTGTCGGACCTGAGCATGGGGCGAGCCGACACCCTGACATCCACACCACAAGGCCCGCCAGCGCGGTGACCTCACGGGGAGCACTTTCTCCCAAGGTGGCGTCAGGTTTTACTGCAAACAGGGCTGAGCAAGGAGCGGGTGCAGGAGCCAGCATGTCTACCCACGCTCAGGGCGTTCTGCTAAGAGGCTGTGCGGCCTCAGTGCCCAGGGCTGAGGCCACCGGAATTCAGGCCCACATAGCCTCCAGGCCAGTGCTGTCACAGAGCACCAGGCTGTTCTGTTTGGGGACACTGCCTGGCAGGCAGCCTGGGCAGCATCTGCAGAGAGGGTGCTGGACTCAGTTCACACTTGGGAGGGCCGGGAACTGCTGAAGCCCTGCCAGGTTGTTAGAGGCTGGGGTCAAGGGTGGGCAGGGACCCTGTCAGTCTCCTGGGTCCAGAAGGGGGAGCTATGGGCTCTTTGGCTTCTCCTGTGGCTGCACAGACTGGGCACCCCAACCCTGCAGCCAGCCTGCCCAGGTCACGCCCTGCACTGCCTTGGAGAGCAGGCTGGGTAGGCCAGGGCCACCCCAGGCAGGGCCACACCAGACTCAGCCCCTTTGCCGTATGGCCAGGAGATCTGTGGTGTGCTGTCCCTGGACAGGGCTCTTTGGGGGATTGCAGGACAACATGTGCGTGTGAGCATGTCTGTGTCATATGTGTGATTATGACAGTAGCCACACGTGGGAGAGCGTGTGTGTCCCTGGGAGTGCTCACATGTGTGTACATGTGAGTGAATGTGACGGTGTATGTTGATGTGGGAGAGCGCACACCTGCCGGGATTGAATGCACACTCAGGTGCACTGTGTGTGCATATGTGTCTTATTCGTGTGTGCATGTGTGTCTGTGTGCATGCAGATGTGCTGTGTGTGCCTGTGGGTGTGTCTGTGTGGTGTGCACACGTAGTGTGTAAGCACGTGATGAGCGTGTGCAGCGTGTTGTGCGGGTGCTGGGCTGTGACCTTGCTGGTTGGGGGTTGGGCTCTGGAGCTCCTCATGTGGCCACCTGTGACCTTGAGTGAGACTCAGCCTCCCTGGCCTTGACCTGCTCCCTGCTTGGTGCCAGCAGCCTCCGCAGCTGCGCCTGGACCCTGCCGGGTGCAGGTGGGCTGTGTCATAGCAGATCCCAGCTGGTGCATCTGCCCCGTCATTCCTCCTGGAAGAGTGGATGCCAGGCACGGGACAGCCCCTCCCCCATGGCCTGCGGCCCCTCTGGAGCTGTGCACTTCACCTGGCTGCCCTCGTCCCTGCTCCCAGGAGGCCACCCACCCCTGTACAGGCAGGTGCTGCCTGGGCCCAGACTTCCCCTCCAGGAGGGGAGGAAGCTTCCTCAGGAAGCAGGGCTTTTGGTGTCCCCAGGTGTGGCGGGGTTCTGGTCTCTGTGACCTTGGTCATGTGAGTGAGCTCCTGGGGGCTCATGACCCAAGTGAAGCAGCAGAGAGGTGCCCTGGTATGCACAGTAGCAGGGGAGGCCTGCTTGTCCCCGCCCCCCAGCAGAGGCCTTGGTGGCAGGGACAGGGTGTAACTCGAGTGTACTTGCTCTGGGGCTGGCTGGTGACAGATGGGTGATAAAGGGTAGAACATAGTTACTGGGGACTGGGCCTGGGGAGTGTCACCGCCATGCCACACTGCTGGGGAAGGTGCCTGTCTGACGGGTGCTGCCCCTCGCTCTGGGCCACGTGGGGCCCCAAAGACCCTCTGAGCATTCTTGGGGCTTGTCCAAGTGCCCCACCTCATCTTGAAGCTGTTGGGAGCTGGTGACAGCCCAATGCCACCTGCCATCCCTCCTCTAAGCCCCGGCCCCTCCCCGGCCTCCAGGGCCTGTGGAGGAAGGAGCTCACTGCCTGCTCTGCTCCCTCTGTGCCGCCCGCTTATCCCCACAGCCTGGCACCTGCGTCTACATCCTTGCCCAGGGCGCTGGCCGGGCCCAGGTCCAGTGGCTAGCCTGTGCAGGCCCCAGGGCCCAACTGGTGCTGCCAGTGTGCCCCTCCTTGGCTCTGACCACCGATGGACACCCTGTTTGGCACCTACAGCTGCTCCTCGTGTACCCCCACTCCGAAGCTGAGCCCGTGGGCATGCAGGACCCAGGCCCACAGTCCTGGAGGGCAGGCACTCGGAGCCTGGTGAGTAGGGTCGGGCTTTCCTGCTGCACCACCTCCACAGCCCTCTGCAGGGGCTGGGGACGGGACAGGCTCCTTGGAGACCTCCTGGGAGAGTGAGGAGGCTCGTGAGCCACACATACACACACACACACACACACACACCCCACCTGGGCTCCGGCAGTGTCCCGCCTGTCTCAGGGGAGCTGGCCCACTTGCTGCGTCCCACACGCTGCTGATCATCAGAGCCTCACCTGGGCGGGAACCGGAGCTGTGAGGCCGCTCACAGGCGGGCGGAGAAGTTTCCATTACAGAAACACAGGCAGTGGCCTCAGCAGCCCTGAGGGCCTGGCTGCCCGGGGGGCCTCTGAGCAGGGGATTGTGGGAGGCTGTCACCACGGGGCTTGGGACCCCCACTGTCCCAGTCACCTAAGCAGTTTGGCTAGATGAGCTGAAGCTGCAGAGCCAAGCTGTGCCTTCTCCCCGCTGGAAAGAAGCAGGAAGCCAGGGACGCCCCACTGACCTTCTCTCTGCAGGTGGGGGGCCAAGCTGGGGTGCGGGGCACAGGGCTCCCAGAGGAGGCAGAACCCGCAGGCAGCTCCCCAAAAACACGCTTCCAACTTAAGCCGGAGGCAGAACTGGGGAGCCCCTGGCTGCTCTGTCCATGGCTGCGCTCACTCAGACACCTAATGGCCCTGGCTTGGGGACAGGGAGCAGGGCTGGCCTGGAGCAGCTCTCACCATCCAGGGGTGTCTGGAGCCTCTGTGTGGCTGAGAGGCCCTTATCCAGCTTCTGCCCCCAATGGGCTGGCTCCCGCCTCCCCAAGATGGCCGAGGCTCGGGCAGGGTGTAGGTGAAGGGCACAGGCTGGGAGTGTGGGTGAAGGGCACAGGCTGGGGGTGTGGGTGAAGGGCACAGGCTGGGGGTGTGGGTGAAGGGCACAGGCTGGGGGTGTGGGTGAAGGGCACAGCCTCGGGGGGGTGTAGGTGAAGGGCACAGGCTGGGGGTGTGGGTGAAGGGCACAGCCTCGGGCAGGGTGTAGTTGAAGGGCACAGCCTTGGGCCAGTCCTGGCCGCCCAGGAGTCTCAGAACACCAGGGGCTAAGATGTCCCTGAGTCCACTCTCCGGTTCTCCGTGCAGATGGGGTTCAGAGGGGCTGGGTGTTTCTGGGGCCACCAGCCCTGGTTTTCCTGAACTGTCCCCTTTAGGGAGCCCCTCAGTCTTGGGTGGAAAGCCAGGGGAGGTGGCCTGCTAGCCCCTGCCTCTGTCTACTGTCCACCCTGCGGGTTCCTGGCCTGCATCATCGTCTGTTCCTGAGCAGGAAGCTGCGTCCGCCTGCTCCTGGAGCTGGCTCTCTTACCTGGCTCCCTCCGGGGTCCTCGTAGCTCAGAATCAGCCCCGCTCTGCAGGTGCCAGCAGTGTCCGCTTCGTCAGGGATGGCAGAGCCCCTCCTGCCCACTGAGGAGGGGGGCCAGGGGCAGCCCCGCAGGGCACACAGGTGAAGGGCCTGCTGCCTCCCTCTGGCTGTGGCCTGGAGGGGCCACCGGCTTATCCACAGGACCCAGTTGGTGCGAGCTGCGTCCCTGAGCCTGGCCCCTCTGCTCTGTTGTGGAGTCTGTCCAGCTCTCCAGGGCTGAGCTGCGGTCACCTCTCCCCTTTGGCAGGAATAGCAACAACCCGAGGATAGGCCTCTGGCCTCAGATTGGGTGGGAGGTGGCTGTTCCCCAGGCCCCTGGTGGACAGCAGGCCAGGCCTGCAGACAAGGCCAGGGGTCAGGGCTACTGTTCCCTCCCCCTTGGCCCAGAGCTGTGTAGCTTACAGAAAGCCCAGGGCTTGAATGAGTGGATAAGTGAGGGTCCTGTGGGCTGTAGGGAGCCCAGCCCTGACGAGGCCCCGCTGCAGGGTGGAGCCCTGGGCTCGGGAGGGGCCCCCTTGGGCCCATTTCCTCTGCCCCACATGGCCCCAAGCCCCGAGGTTTCAGGGGAAAAGGGCAAAGGACAAGTCCCAAGCTGAGGGTTTGGGGCATGCTGTCGGAGTCCCAGTAGTGCCTGGCAGGAGGAACAGCATCTGGGCCAGGGAGGCACAGTGGGAGTGAGGGGACCAGTGTCCAGGGTCTGCCCAGTGGGGCACACAGGGCTCTACTTTGTATCTGCTGCTTGCAGCTGCCCTGCTTGGCAGGTGTAATTGACTCCTCATTTATAGATGAGGAAAGTGAAGCTCAGAGAGGCTAGGCAACCCACCCACTGTCACACAGCCAGGAGGAGGTGCTGGCTCAGGCTCAGTAGCCCCATCTGCAGGTGAGCATGGCATCCCCAGGGGAATTGGATCTGAAGAGGGGCTTTGTGGGCTGTCACAGGCATGAGGTCTGCAAGTGGGCAGACCTCTCGGTGACTTATGGGGTTCAACTGTTTTGAGGGACAGTCGAAGGACGGCGGAGACACCTGTCTCATAATGTTCCCTGGAGGCATATCCTGCTTAGGTTAGGTACAGCTATGGGATCCCTGAGCCTGGGTGTGCAGAATGAGAGGGGCAGGGTGAGGGGAGGGACGATGTCCAGGCCACCAGGGGCCACAATGGCCACAGAAGCCTGGACGTACCATCCATGCCCATGCAGGGGTGCTGGGGGGACTCCCTGGCTAACCCTGGGGCAGGTGCAACTTCCCCTGTAAGGGCAGGTGGTCAGTTCCTTGCTCCCTGGGCCACACTGAACTCTGCCCTCAGACATGGGGATCTGGCATGTCTGTGTCCCAATAAAGCTTTATTCACAAAGACCAGGTGTCCAGCTGGCCCAGGATGACTTACTGACCCTTGTTCCAGGGAGACTGCCTAGGAGCCTAGGTGGGTGGGGGCAGAGGGAGTCCTATGCAGCAGGGACATGTAGGAGGACCAGGGTCTTGACGCCAACAAAGCCCCGATCCCGGCTCAGCTCTGACCCACCAAAGCCGGAGCTGTTCCTACTGGGCACAGAGTGGGGAGCTCTGGGCAGCTCCTTCCTGTCCTGTCCTTTGACCAGAGAAGGAAGGGCTGGCCCAGGCCTTGGAAGCTGCCTACTGCCTGCTCTCTCTGGAAAGGGAAGCCACCACTGTCCCGTGGCCATTTGCTCTGGGTGGTTTATTGTGCCCACAAAGGCCCAGCAGCTCTCGATCCCCTTGAGCCCTCTGGTCCCCGCCAGCCGTATCCCCAGCCCCATCTGATAAGGCTTGCCCTGTGCCCTCCACCGATACCTGCTTGGTCAGGACACCACCGGGCCTCCTCAGGGTGGGCAGAGGTGGCCTGGAGTCTGAGCTTCAGGGTGCACACAGACACTCCGAGATGCCCCTGTTCTGTGCCAGGGATGGGGGAGGGGCCAGGCCCTGCCATCTCAGGCCTGCCCAGGGCCAGAAGGGTTCCCATGCCTGGGCAGCCCCACCATCAAGGATGGGGAGCCCCTTGGTCCTGACTCTGCCACTGTCCAGCCAGGTGACCCAAGCTGTCCCCTGTGCGGGGGGAATGACTGGAGTCCCATGCCAGCCTGCACCCCTCAGTGGAGGGGTTTCCTGTTCAAGTCTCCTGGGGGGCAGCCAGCCAGCCCCAGGGACAGAGGCACACGGAGGTCTCCAGAGGACTTGGAGGTCTCTGCAGAGCAGTGGACCCTCTGGTGTGAGGAGGTGGAGCTGGTGAGAGGACAGGGATGGAGCTGGGCCTGGTAGATGGGTCCTAGGGCCCCTGGGGCTGGAAGAGAAGGGAGAGGACTCTCACTGCCAGTCACCAGGCCCAAAAGGGGCCAAAAGTCACCACCGGCCATGGCCACCTGGTCACAAGTGGCCCCACCAGCATACCTTGGTGGGTGGGAGGAGTGTAGCCTGAGGGTTGGGGTCCAGGAGAGAAGGAGGGGGAGGAAGTGGGACAGCGTAGGCTTTGGGTTGGAGGGCAGAGGCACCGTCCCAGCAGGCGGCCAAGGAAGGATCTCAGAGAGTGGGCAGTGAGTCCTCTGCCACCGGGCAGGCAAAGGATGAGGCTGCCTTGAGGACTCTTGGGACAGTGCACGGTGTGGGAGGGCATGCAGGGCGGGGAGCATGTGCCTGTGCTCTCCCTGCTGCCCGTGGCTTGCCTGGCACACAGCCAGAGCTGTGGCGCTTTTCTGGCTTTCAGCTTCAGCTAAGGGTCCTGCCTGATCACCACTGGCCGTGGGGTCAACTCCCTCTACTGTGGAGCGGGCAGCTCGTCATTCTGACTGAAGCAAGGACCTTTGACAGTTAGGGCTGTGTCTGGCCACCCTGCAGAGCCAGGCCCTTAAGGAGGCCAGGATGCCGGCAGCGCCTGGCCAGAGCGGGAGGCCCGATGTCCCCCTCAGCCCGGGCTAGCCGGAAGCACTGGACCCCGTTAGCACTAACAAAAGGGCCCCTTTCGCTCCTGCTAAATTATTCATGACCTCCAAGAGGCCGTAAATGTCCTCGGCTCTCTACAGGGGCCATAATTACAATGATAAATTTTATTTATGAAGTCAGTGCCTCCCGCGAGCCGGCTGCCTGGGGGGCTGTACATAAGCCATAACCGAGACGCCCCGAAACCTGCCGCGACAGCTGTTTCTCCGGCTGGGCCTTGGGGGCCGCAGGAGCAGGCAGGGAATGCCAGGGCAGGGGTCTCCATCTGTCCCCTGACCTGCGGAGGGGGCGGTGTGGGGTCCGTTTGGCTACAGGGGCAATCACAGGGTGGGTTCTGGGTCCAGCCTGGGGGACAGTGGACCTGGGCCCCGTGGCTGGTGTCCTTGCCTCCTTCCCTTGGTCCCTGGGCCTGAGGACCCGCTGAGGGGGCCTGGCTTTGGCTGCTCCCAGCTGAGCTTGCACACAGCTCACACCCTGAGTTCTCACACCAGAGTTGTCCCCTGTGCAGGGCTCAGGTATAGGCAGGGCTCAGGTGCCTTGGTGGGCACAGCAGGGCGTGTTCGCGGGTGCCCAGTGGGCCCCCCTGCATGCTCCTCTCTGCCCCACCAAGCCTGCGTTTTGGCCTCGTGGGCTGCAGAGGACGAGGGCTCTTAGAGGCAGGACCCTGCACCTGGCCAGAGGAGGCTCCTGCTGAGCCTGATGAGGACCAGGGCAGGGGGCATGGCCTTGCCCCACCCCTGTGCACGCGGCTGCTGGGAGCAGGTCAGGAGACTCATTAGGAAGAGCTGAGAGCCTGGTAGGGCCCCCTGCTGGCCTCTGACCTGGGATGTTGGTTCCAGCTGAGCATAGTGACCCCTCTCCATCCATGCAGGTTGTAGAGGGATGGGGGACTTCACGTTGAGATGGCAGGTGGGGCAGGCAGGGGGGACAAGTGAGACTGGTCCTCCTCATTGCTATCATGACAGCAACTGGACAGCCCAGCCTGGGTGCCCTGTGGCCTTGCAGCCCAGGTGGTATGGCCTTGCCTGGGCATCTTGAGGCTCTGCACCCAGGTATGGCCTGCAGCTTCCCGGACCTTTCTACCCTCTGCCGGGAGCCTCCTGGGCTCTTGGCAGATAAGTCTCTGGACTTGATGGGAACCGCCCACTGGGAAGGAGAGGTGTCCAGATTTTCTGAGAGCTGTTGGAGCTAGGGCCTGAGTGGCCTCGGTGCATGGCCAGGAGCCACACCCCTGGGCCCAGCAGTACCCAGGCACGACCTTGCACTGTGAGGGGCCAGACCGAGGAGCAGGGTGGGGACACGAGGTGAGAGAGGGACTCTGTGGACCGCCCAGGGTGCTGACCGGTGGGGCTTTCTTTTCCAAGAAGCCATTTACCTGCAGCCCGGCCTGGTCTGGTGACAGGCTAAGTCACATTCCTCAGCAAACTACCTGTTAACTGCAGGAGAAATGCAGGCCCAAAATAATGTCAATGGGAGGAACCCAAGTCACCCTGAAGCTGACCAGATCCTGAGACTCTGGGAGATAAGGGTACTTCCTCCTAACCATAAAGTCTGCAAGAATGTATGGTTAAGAATCCAGTTAGAACCAGTCAGTTTGGGCCAGGTGACCTACAGTGGTCATGGCAATGGGGACTTAAAATCTGATGTCCTCCTGCTGTCTGTCAAAGTCAAGAGGGGGACCTGGGAGGGACACTCTGGGGGGGACACTCTTCCCAGGGATCCCCAGTAAAACTGGAGTGCAGGAGAGGCACAATGTCCCTCTCCTCTCTGAGGACCCACTGTATCTCTTGGGAGTGTCCCCTTTCCCTTTCCTATTCCTTCAATAAACTCATTCCTGCTACTCTGAGCGAGGTGGCTGAAATCTTTCTGACTTGGTCTCAGCAATCAGGGATGGGGGTCTTCACGCTGCCTCAGTTTCCCAGAAGGCCCAGGGGCCAACCGTCTTCATGACGCGGTGCTTGACCCAGTCAATGTAGAGATATCAGGGCTGATACCACATCTGGGTGGCGTCCACTATTGGCCCCCAAGGGAGACCAGGGCATGGAGCCTTCAGGATCTGGCACAGTGCCTGCCACCAGGATCTCCCTGCTGCTGCCAAGTTCTAATGTCACGAGATGCTAGATGAGCCACGGGATTCGCCCCTCACAGGCCAGGAGTTGCCAGGTGACTGGGCCTGCACAGCCTGGAACCTCGGCCACCCACCCCGTGGACAGTCATGACTCGCTGCTAAGGAGGAGAAGCTCCGGCCTCAGGTGGCTGCCCCAGCAGAGGGCAGTGACCACACACAAGGGACCCCTCAGCCATGGCCTGAGGGCCAGGGCGGGCACCGTCCAGTGGCAGGGTGTGAGCCCCACAGCCCAAGGGGGTGATGGACACAAACTCCTGGGCCGCAGCAGCCAGCCTGGGGGAGTCTGGGGGAGCAGGTTGGGAGGAGAGGACGAGGAGATCCCAGGATGGACACGCAGGGTGGGGGCAGAGCGTCTGGCTCTGTCTCCTGCCTG